GGCTGTAGTTGTGCACACACAGCCGAAGCAACATGGGAAATAGCGCACATTGCAGAGAGAACAGAAACCAAATAAAGAAGAAGAAGAAGAAAAAAACAATATTCCACCAACACACAAACCGATCGCATTGGAAATTTTTCGGTTGTTGTATGCGTTCTGTTCATGAATTTTATTTGTTTTTTATTTCAAGCACCTCTCGTGTGGTGTTCACTGGATTTGTTTTTCTATTGTTGTTGTTACTAGTTGTGTTGGTGTTGAACGCGTACTCGTATGTTCGATGCGCATATGTGTGCGTGCGTGTGTGTTATGTGTATATATCGGTTAGGTTTCTGTTTGCGCATTTAAATTTCCTGAGATTTTTCTTCCTTTTCTCTCTCACTCTATCTCTCTCTCTCACACTCTGATTCTCTCTCCTTCTCGTTCCTCTCTTACATAGAGATGATCTTGGATGCGTTTTACTGAAACATGCGCTAGGATCATCGTTTACACTCTATGCAGTCTATTCAACGGAAGAAATCTGTTTTACTTGTGGTTTAAAGTCCACTTTTGGAACTCTCGTATTATTTGAATATTATCGAACCGCAAATAAATCAGCCAGTCATCTCATTCTGAATACAATTTCAGGACTTTTCTCATTTGGTTACTTTTTTGTCATCTCTTCTTCTTTCTGAACATTTACTGATAGAATATGACTATGAATCTCATAAAAATGAACGTTTATATACCAGTTTCTAGTGTTGAACTGCAATAACGTCAACAAACTGTACAAGTACGGATTCAAGTGCATCACCTATTTTGGCTAACAATTGACAGGTTTTGCTATAAAATCTACCTAACGATTTTGTTGTGTGATCCAAAATAGAGATGGCGGTAGCCACTGGCCATTGAAAGTTTTTCTTCAAGAGCTTCTTCAGTGTATAATTCATTTTTGCTTTGAACATTCAAGAAAATACAATCTTTTCGAATCTTCACGCTGCCAGAACCTCTATCTTCTAGAAAATTTGGTATCAAATGACAAAAACGCCCGATTCTATTTCATTCCATTGGCCTTCCACCGATCTACGTTGCTAATACGCTAAACAGAGCCAACTGCATCGGACAGACTGTCCGGTACAGTATTAATTGATGAAGTGATAATCGGAAAGGCTTGCTTTTTCTCATTTAAAGGATTTTTTCCCTCCTTATTAAAATGCTGAGCTGATGTTGTAGGATGCCTTACGGCAGCTTCTCTTTTGTATCCGGCGACACTTCCATAAACTTTCACTAGCGCCTCTTGTTCACTTGTTGTTGTTGTTGACAGGAAACACGACGAGAGAGATTTTTGTTGACAAATAAAACATTTGCTGAAACAAACAGATTTTCAAGAGTTAAATTAATTAGATTGTTTTAGGAAGATCTCAAGTGCTGTATTGCGCCCTCCTTAAAAATTTATTACATGGACCATACGTATGCGTGTGCGTTAAGTGACTGCATATGAAGTTATTGCAACAAACTTCTTCCACATTATTTGCCTGCAGGACGTTTTATCAGCTCTCTAGCCTGGAAACGTGTCTCAAATTCAATTAAAGCAATTTCGTCAAAGGGGATTTCGCAGTGATCCAACAAATTTCTGTTGTTCTTTTCATTAGAGATACACGAAGGGAGAGAGAGAACTTTTTGGAGTTTCGTGAGCGCCAAAATTGACTCGGTCTCGGGTCACTACCAATCGATTTGAAGAATGCTATAGTAAACCATCTGCTGAAATGAAAGAAAGTGAAAGAGAGATAGGGAGAGAGGATGAGAGATGCGTGCCCATACACCATCAGCATATCCATGTGCGACGTCCAATGAATCGGTTGCACATTATGATCGATATGTGTTAATGCCAATACAAACGGTATTCCTTCTTCGATACTGGTGAGCGGGTATGAATAGTGCACAACCGCCTTGTTCGTTGTGTTTGCACACCAATTCTCGACCCAGCTCAAATGCTCTGGAGAACTTTTTATGCTTTGCCATGGAGAAAATACTGCCGACTCGGCAGAAAAAGATAACCAAAATTAAAAATACTTGCCAAATGCGAAGCGTTTGCATTAATTGAATACTAAACAACAAATAGCCGCCAGCCAATTTCGGCTTGATAGTTGTGTGTGTATGTAATGAATGAACGCACGGATAAACGAATGTGATGGCAAGAGCGAACACACACACAATCCGGTCGTGCCGTATTTTGGCGAATGGAGCATCAAGACGCGTAATTGCTTTTGCACTTGGCATATTTTAAATTTTGCTTTCCATTGTCTTGATTCTCTCCCTCTCCCCCTTCCTCTGCTCCACACCGATCTTCATTCGTGCTTCTATATTTGTATATGGATGAGATTTTGTTCATATGTTAATTCAATCATTTGGAGGCGTCGTCCCTCTTTACTTAGGTATTTATCTCGATTTTGTTGGTGTTACGTGACGAGTTTTACATGCGATTGAAAATGTGGTGTATCGTCTATGAGCTGCTGCCTGTCGCACATCGTAATGTGAATCAAAAGATTTGTTTTTAAAATTAAATTTCTTTCCACTTACAAGCCCAGGCTTTCTTTTATAATTCCATTGTTTTCCCAATGGCCGTAAATACCAATTCGATGTCGTTCTGAGCCAAAAGTTAGCTAGCATACGAACGAGAATGGGAAGGAGAAAGATAAAGAGAAGGAAATCCAGTCACAATCAAAGTGAGCAAAACAAACTGAAAAACAGACCGTGAAAATTTCCAGCAATAAAATGATGAGTGTGCACACTGCACACTTTGCACAGTGTACAATGTATATAAACAATTCTATTTTGCCTGGACTCGTTTAAATTTGAAAATAGAATCTCTTCATGGAGACAAAATGGAATTTTAAAGTCAACGAATTAAAAGACCTTGTCAAGTATTAAATACGCTTCGACAGGCTACATCGAATAGATTTTACCAATTAAAACACAAGTCACTATGAACATTTTCGCATTTTTTTTCTCGCTAAATTGAATTATTCGATATCAATATCAATTTTGGGAATTTTTCGGGCTCTAAGGCCATTAACTTTAACTATCATCAGTTAAATCAATAGCAATCAGTGTCCACTCGTATCACAGATTTAAGCCAATGACTTATTTTGAAGAGAGAAAAAAATACAGAGAGAGGGGAGAGAGAATTTCCCGCTAATATCGTCCTTTATAAACAAAGGTCAAATGAAACTGGTGCATCGGTGTCGATAGTTTCAGTGTATTATTCTTCAAAAATAAAAAATCCGCCGAAAACAATAACAACAAAATTAACACTTGAAAATTAAAGTGTTTTTTCAACATATCATTGGCTTCTGGGAAATTATTTGTTGCGCGAATTAAGTGTCTTTGAAGAGCAAGCAGCTCAAATATTAAAGAAAGGGTTACTTTCGTCCGCTTAAAACGAGTATCAAGTATTGTATATCAAATATTTTCTTGCGAAGCGATGAGCCATTTATCCAATGGTGTTTGAGAATCCATATTTCTGTCATAAGTCGAAAGGGCGACAAAAGAAATCCCACGAATTAGCTCGCTTTAAAGTTTAAAACAATAAATGCGTTATAATCTACGGCTAAGGACAAGAACGAAGGACACTCAACGCTTCACATTTGCCGTAAAAGAGAGCGAGAGAAAAAGAGAGAAGTAGAGACAGACTGTCTTCGGTCAGGGAGCCACAATGTTAAGACTTTGGTTGTTGTTGTCATTCTTCATGTTGTTATTGTTTTTGTTGTTGTCGTCGTCAACGTCGTCGTCGTCGTCGTCGTCGTCGTCGTCGTCGTCGTCGTCGTCGTCGTCGTCGTCATCATTGAACAGGTAGCGGAAAAAAGACAAAATCATTGCAATATTGTATATGACTCGCGTTGCCATTGTTCATGGTTATTTTCTGTTCTACCTGAAATGAGTCGTATGGGTCATTTTTTCGTTGTTTACTGATGTCTATGTTTGCGTCTGTGCATGCGACAACTTTCTATGCATGCAGATTAAGCCGAGTTAACGAATCTTTTTACTTAATTGTTTTGTGTGTGTTTTTTTGTTCTCCCATCCTCTCATCAGATTCCCAGAGGAATGTATTTCTTTATTAATCCTGATTCTGATCATCTGTTTTTCCTCAACGCTCTACAACTTTTGGCCTGTTCTTGTCATTTTCGTTTTCTTTCTTCCTTTCGAAGGGAGGGACAGACAGATTCCTTTCACTTACAATAACCGCAGTCATTTACTTTTTTCCATCGGTTATCGTGCTCATTTGCAATTTGAATTTTGAGCGACTAACAACGAGCGAGTGTGACTGAAAGAAAAATTTCGTTAACATTTCAAATTGGTTTTTTATATAAATCTTTTGCGGAAATTAACTGTATTTGATTTCTTGACGAAAAAATAATTATTCATTTGAGAACTTATAAGAGGTTAGTAGAAGGTAGTTTATAAATTCCATGACCGACCAACGATTATCATTGCAATCTTTTAATGTGTGTGTGTGTTGATGAAAATTTGTTTTTTTTTGGTTTTGTTTCTGTTATCGTTAACATCTGTGTGCTTTCTTTTCAACCAACTAGTAACCTTTTTTTTCGTTCATCTTCTCTAGATAAGTATACGAATAAGATGGATTTTTTTAATTCATTCATCCCCGTGTTCATCAAGTATGATTTCGTGTCGGAAAATCAAGTATTGCAAGTGACAAAAGTAAGTAATCGTTGCCCACGATAAAAAGAAAGAAAGTTGTTTTAGCACTCGAGCGTTGATGAATCATCTATTTGAAGGTGAAAAAACTGCTTACGTTGAAAGTGCTATATAATGCCAACAAAAATGTCAGAATTCTAATGTTTTTCGTTTCGGTTTTTTTTTTCATTTTACAAATAGAATTGGGTTGAATGCCGTTTGAATATGAAACCATCACCCACTTCGTATCGCTGTATTCAAATAAATGTTTATCCAAAGTGTTATGACCAAATGATGCCGCATTTCACCCTGGATATCAACACAAAAAATGCAAACATTCGCTGTGGACCGGTTAGATCACATTCAAAGGCAAATGTGTATGGAATACTATGGAGTTGTACAGGGAAAAAATGCCGAATTTTCATTGCGTTCGAAAGCAAAACTATGCACCAAAAGTTCAGGAAATATTTCAGAAAACTCTTGAAATTTTTCAACTTATACAATGATTGCGAGAACGGTAAGTGAATTTTAATGACAATAACAAGCAAAGCAAAGCTATTGCCGTTGCCATTTTCATCACACTCATTTCCCCTTCTTCACTCTGTTCACACAGAACATGCCGCCGAGCACAAAGTTCTCGAAAACGAAAACATTAACTCCGTGTCTAATGAAGCAGAGCAAATGACTGCCCGTACAAGAACAAATCAAGCGAACGGCGACAACGACGTTGATGATGACGACGACGCATCACTAGCTGAACAAATTATGCGCGTATCGGATGCATCAGGCAGTTACGAAGATGTTGTATTACGACCGAAAACTGAGCAGCATAACAACCGTCGCTTGGCCAGGCCCCTTGCCGTTCTTTCCGGTTTATTCAAATCACATCGCGAAAGTGGCGCAAATCAAGAGGAAAATGCGAGTGAAAATTTAACAAAGTCTTTGATACCACCGGTTGTAGATAGCAAAATCAACCAAAAAAAACCGAAGAGAATAAGCTGGAACATTTTTAAGTCAAAGAAGAAGCATCGTGATGAATCACCATCGTTCCAACATTTTCAGGAGCCGCTGAATGTTGAACGTGTTTCATTGCCAATTGGTCCATCACACATCGACAACGATGCCGAGTGGTACGATTTGAATAGAGAAGAAATGAGTGTGTTCGAAGCGCAAGTGTCCGATATTGTGAACGAATTCAATAACGGTAACCAAATGATTGGCGATTCGGAATCAGAGTCAATATATCACTGCGATCTTGGCCGATATTTAACCATATCGACGAATATTTTGTGGTCACATAATCTATCGATGTCATGCCAATCAAATGGTAATGCGTCGAATATCAATCTGCTTGGAGCTAATATCAACAGAGACCAAATCCACAGTGACATATTCATTGAAGACGAACGCACCAGTGAGATTGAGGATGTATGCACATTTGATGTACGGCGAAACAGCATCGATTCAGTAGATTCAGATGGTTATGCTATAATGCAACCGATCCTTCCGTTCAAGAAGGAGCAGCCAATTTTAATTGATGACATTATGACTGCACGGTATGATTCCGATGTTTCAAGCAATTTGAGCTCCGGTTTTGGCAGCGATCACAGTGATTCAGATGATGGTGGTAGCAAAAGTTCACCACAAAATCCATGTTCATCCATTACGTTTGCTGCTTCACCAGCAACTTCAGATTTTTCCGAAGCATTCCCATCGCCAGCAACATCAACATCAACAGGAATGGCAACCACACCATTGACGGCAAAAACTATGCAAAAAACATCGAAGAAGCGTCGCTTTAGGTCGAGAAATTTACTTGCGATGCTGTATGCGAAACACACACCATTGCTATCGAACGTGACACAGACACCACCAAATAAATTATCGCCCGAATGCATGAAAAAAGTGCACAAAAGGACGTCATTCAAAGTGCGTCTATCCAAAAAGGACGAGAGAAGCGTTAGGGAAAAGTCGTCGCAACCTTCATTGCAAATATAAATTCGTCAGCCAATCAATCGTCAACGAACTAAATCTGTCAACGACATTCGGTCATTCGGCTGCCAACGCCAAACTTAAAAGATGTATTTGTTTGCAATTCGTTTGACTTGACAACGATGCCAACATCGAATCAATTACAAAGTTTCCAACATCGATTCCAATCAGCAATCAAAACCAACAATTGACATTTGACTCAATTGGAGTCGGATTTGTCTTTTGACTAAACCGGAAATTGTCGGTTTTGAACATGCGTTCGTTCTAAATTCACTCGAACGAGTTCAATTTCAATTCGTTTTTTAATTTTGTCAACATAAAACTTTGTATCAAAATGATTTGTACGACTTTCCTTTGTAACGGCACATCAACTAGGAAAAGAAGCGAGCAAGAATTCTCTTGCTTTATCCATAATTCATTTGTAACATCACATTGTAGATTGTTTAACATTAAGTTTAAGTGAAAACGTTCTCATAGCTTTAGAATAGAGTTTATGCATACATCTAATTTTGTCATTTGTAAAATACATTCGAAGTATAAATGAACATTGAGCTTAAAACGAAACTTTTTCATTTGCCAGAAATAATAACCTTGGGCTGGACGGAGTCAGACGAATGGTTGTACCTGAAATATGGCAATCGTGCCATACTTAAATAGCCTCTCTTTCTCTCTCTCTCTCTCTCTCTCTCTCTCTCGACAGAGATATTCTCGTTCCTTCGTTATCTCTTCTCCATTTATCCGCTCTCACTCCGTGTCTCTTGCTTTCTCTCTCTGTCGCTCATTGTTGCCGAGTTTTGCAAAAAATTTTTCTTGGTTTCTCTGTTCACTGCATCGCTGTCAAAATTGTTAATTGTTACACATTTGATGTCTTCTCTTTATCCGTGCGCTTCATGCAAATTAAATGTTATTTTAGTTTTCTTGCCTCTTCGCTTTTGCATTTCGTCCTGAAATTGGAAACTTGAAACTATTTCGGTCGTTCATGACGTCAGGTACGACAATATTGTCATTTGCAGCAGAGTGCAATCTAGTTTGCTGCACATGCTCGATTTCGAATGTATTGTTCGGCTATTTGAACCGTATTTTTTTTAAATACTTCTCCATCTCTATTTCTGTGAAACCGCGAATGAAAAAAAAAACAAGAGAAAGAAAGAGTTTTTTTGGCCGTTTTTTTGTTTGTTGGAAAAGCCGGTAAAATATCGGCGATGAAAGTAGGGTAATGTAGGATTATTTGCGCACAATTATATTCCATAAACAATTTAATCTCGTTAATCTGTTTAAATCTGCTCTCGGCAAACTTCAACGCAATTCAACGCTCGATGCAATTCAGAGTTTGAATGGAAAGTAGGTTTTCGACAACAATTTGCTTTTTTGTTGAAAAAAGAAAAAAAAAATCATTCAATGAATGCAATTTTTCGCGATAATATGTTAATATGTTTTGCTTCAGATTTTACTATTTGTTGGCTCACAAACGAATGCAAAACAGAAAATAAAATGGTTTGAATGTTGATGCTGATTGCAGAAAAACCACATTTCTCAAATTAAAACAATAAAATGTATAAACGGATTGATTTTTGCCCCTCTCCCTCTCCATTTCGCTTGATCACTGTGTGTGTGTGTGTGTGTGTGTGTGTGTGTTATAAATTACGAATACATCGCACTGACCTTTCATTGTCGAATGGCAGATCGGAACAATTATGAGAAGGCCGAAAAATTTACTTTCGATCGAATGGACATGTGCCAAACGCATCGAGTGGAGCTCTAGAAAGGACGAGAGTGTGTTGGATTTTGCAACCAAGAGTGCAGTGAATTATGAAATTTTCATTTCTAGTTGCATCGATCCATTTACAAAATCGCATTTAATATCTGATAAGTCTGAAACCATAAATTTATCTAATCAAAATAATTTAACCACCATCAATTTGCCAATACACCGGTGCCTAGGTGATGGTATACCGAATACAAAAAACCAGATATATCGAGAAAAAAAATTGCCAACAACAGCAACAACAAAAACAGCCAATGGAGTGAATTCATTTAAAATAATCCAAAAATAAATACCATTTTGAACATTTCCAAAAACCGTAGCTATAGCTGCGAATCAGAAACCGAATGTTCGCACTAGATTTGAAATAAAATACGAAAGCCATATACAGTGTATGTAAATATCCAACCATCCTCACATGGACCAGACAGGATATTCAATTTTATGGCATGGCGCCTTGTTAAGCCTTCGATTAGGACACATTTTTATGTCCTTCGCAAATGTATACTATTGATGCTATTTGGTCCAAAGCGTCAGTCTATTTATGTGTACCTTAAAATGTAGAGCATTAACCGACATGCAAAAGACACACATACACGTATTTATATATTATGACTATACATTTCCGTACCCGATAACCGAACATACCTGAACATAATTAATTTACAATTATTGAGTTCATTTCCACATTAAATTTAAATAAGTAATTTAAAATTCTCGATAAATTTTATAACGCGGCGCATTTGTGTAATTACCAATACTGCCACGTGAAAAAAATAATAACGAATATTAATTATAATAATTATTATTAATAATTAATTGATTTTCAGTTTAATTCACGGCTAAAAAACTTGATCCAAATTTACAATAACAGGATATTTGTCTCGTTTTGTATAATATGGTACAAGAAGCGTGAAATGAATTGATTTGAATTGGCTGTATTTAGTAAAACACAAGATTAAAAAAAAATTAATAATAAAGAATGACTTTTATTTCATACATTTAGTTTTCAATGTTTATTCAAAATATTTTGACCGTTTCAGTCCATGCTATTTCGAAGAGAAGTGGAGATTATGTAAAATCAATAGTTATTTTTTGTACCATTCCTTATCCTGGCGATTGAAAATATGAAAAGTGTTTCCAAATCCACTGTTCCGCATCTTTATCTCCTTTAGATTTTAAACTTTGTGCTGTCTTCGTTCAAGTGGGCATACGTATCAGGAAAATATCCTTCATTTTATACCAAAGTCAATAGGCCCTATACTTATCCTTGCGTTTATGAAAAACTCGTTTGTGCCGCCTGAACATATGCAATTCTTTCTGTATGGCAGAGAAATTGTGTGCAAACTGTGTGTGTGTGTGTGTGTGTGTGTGTGTGTGTGTGTGTGTGTGTGT